CAACAGCCTGATGCCAAAATGGCCAGTGGCATTTTGCCTCTTTGAGAAACAGGCTGTTTTTGTTCTTGCTGGGTTAGTACTGTCATGTTTCACCTCTAATTTGGGAAAGGAAAATATAATCTGGCAAACTCCTTCCTGAAAGCTTGCCAAACTGTGGTCTTATCCTGCTAAGCGGCTTCCCACTCACCGTGTGTTTTCATCCTCCCTCTGGTTTTTCCTGCAGTATGTCGGGGCTCCTGTGGCCTACATTCAGCAGATCTTGGTGAAAGCTACCGTCTCCCCGTGGCAGAAGAACTTCCTTGCTGTTGATGTATTCCGTTCACCCCTCTCCCGCGTCTTCCAGCTGGTGGAGGAGATCAGAAACCATGCCCTGAGAGACAGGTAATTAACTGTTTGTTAAAGTTGGTGTAGAAGGCAGACTGACCCACTGTTGTACACAGCCATCTTCTGAATTACTGCCTGATCATCAGCTTTGAATCTGTCTGATCAGTCTGATCATCAGCTTTGAATTTGTGACATTCTGAAAATTAAAATGAGAGATCACTGCTAACAGGGGACATCGTATCATAGAATCACAGAACCTTTTAGCTTGGAAAAGGCCTTTAAGATCACCCAGTCCAGCCGTCACCCCAGCAGTGCCCAGCCCCCCACTCCCCCGTGTCCCCAAGCGCCTCGTCCACACGGCTCGGAAACCCCTCCCGGGATGGGGCCTCCACCACCTCCCTGGGCAGCCCCTTCCAACGCCTGACAGCCCTTTCCGGGAGGGAATTGTTCCCCACAGCCAACCTCCACCTCCCCTGGCACCACTTGAGGCCGTTCCCTCTTGTCCCATCGCTTGTCCCTTGGGAGAAGAGACCCACCCCCCTCTGCACCCCCCTTTCAGGGAGTTGTGGGGAGCGATAAGGTCTGCCCTGAGCCTCCTCTTCTCCAGGCTGAACCCCCCAGCTCCCTCAGCTGCTCCCCACAGGAATTGTGCTCCAGCCCCTTCCCCAGCTCCATCCCCTTCTCTGACACATCCAGACTCCTGATACACACTCGTCCTGCACGTAGAGCAGTTCCGCTTACCTGCGGGATAACTTGGCCTGTCCTCTAGTCACTGATGATTGTCAGGACCCTTCCCATCTGAGTCCTAGACAGGGAGGTCTGGAAAGGGCTCTCAGGATTATACCTCTTACAGCAGATAACAGCATCACATCATCCCGTATAAGCATGCAAGCTTCCTATTAAAGCAACTTAATTTATGCACGCTTCCTATTAAAGCAAATTAATTTGACCCCTCTGTGCCTATTGTCAAGCTCTTCTGGAATTCCACAGGGACAGGAACCTTCTCCCAACTTTCCACATCAGCTGTGTTTAGGATCAGTTTATACCAGTTTGTTTTAGTCCTGATGCAGTCTCTGTACAAGAATAGCTTTCCTTCGCTTCCAGATACTTCCAGGGAGACCTCATACTCCCCACCCCAAATCTTTGTTCGTTAAGGTAACTGTAGGAAGCTCTTGGCTTACTCTGGTAAGACAGCTCTGTATCCACCTTGCCATCCTGAGTGCCCCTCTTGGCACCCTTAGTGTATCATTCCTGAATGTTGGAGATTAGAACCGTACACAGTATTCTCAGAGAAGTCTCATTTGTCTGGTATTTCATAGAATCATAGAATGGTTTGAGTTGGAAGGGACCTTAAAGATCATCTAGTCCCACCCCCCCTGCCATGGGCAGGGACACCTTCCACTGGACCAGGTTGCTCAAAGCCACATCCAGCCTGGCCTTGGACCCTTCCAGGGATGGGGCATCCACAACATCTCTGGGAAACCTGTTCCAGTGCTCCCCACCCTCTGTGGGAAGAATTCCTTCCTGATATCTAATCTAAGCCTCCCTGATTTCAATTTGTACCTGTTACCCCTTGTCCTGTCTCTACAGGCCCTTGTAAAAAGTCCTCTCCCAGCACCCTTGTAGCCCCTTCAGGTACTGGAAAGCTGCAATGAGGTCTCCTCGGAGCCTCCTCTTCTCCAGGCTGAACAAGCCCAGTTCTCGCAGCCTTTCGTCATAGCAGAGGTGCTCCAGCCCTCTGATCATCTCCGTGGCCTCCTCTGGACTCGCTCCAAGTGGTCAATATCCTTCTGATATTGGGGGCTCCACAGCTGGACGCAGCACTCCAGGTGGGGTCTCACCAGAGCAGAGTAGAGGGGCAGAATCACCTCCCTCGACCATTTTCCCATGGAAATGCCTTTTCTGAAATAAAGTGAGACGACAGGTCCCTTTTGTCACAGCTAGTCACATCAATTTACACATTATGAAGGGGTTGATTAAGGTCTCCATGTCGTCTCCATCATTTCCAGCTGATGAGCTCCCGTCTTATAGCAGAAACTCGTTATAGTCGGTCCCCAAGCGCTTGGTCTTGCACTTTGTACTGTTAACAGAAAGGGAATTAAATTGATTCCAGCCCTCGCATCACCCACGTCAGATATCCTGTTCCTTTCCTGTATTAACAGCGTTTGTTTTGTGTCATTGGCAGATGACCATGGGCAGGGACACCTTCCATAGCCCAGGTTGCTCCAAGCCTCATCCAGCCTGGCCTTGGACACTCCCAGGGATGGGGCATCCACAGCTTCTCTGGGAACCTGTCCCAGTGCTCCCCACCCTCTGCGGGAAGAATTCCTTCCTTGTTTCCAATCTCAATCCCCCTCTTTGTCCTCTAACGTGGGTAGGGAAGATTTACTGCTTGTTCATGCGTCCCTGACAGCATCCTTCAGTCTTGAGAGTGTCCACTTTACTACTCTACCCGGTGGTTTGCCCTTTATTTCACACCGTTCCTTGCAAGCCAGGTGCCTACTCTCCGTGGTAGTTTTTTAGAAATGCCATTTATGCTGTTAAATACGGAGCTCTCCTACCAGCTCACAAAGCCTTGGCCCTGACATTCTCTCTGTGTTTTCAGTTCTTCTCCTCCTTTATCATATCTCAACTTCAGATACTAATCTGTACATGGTTGCCAGCTATGAGTCAGAAACAACTTGCTCCCCGGGTGTGTGTTGTGTTCTCCTTATCTCTCCTTGGTGTTGCCCTTGATGAACAGTGATGCAGTGTGGAATCATGGAATCCCAGGATGGTTTGGGTTGGGAGTGACCTCAAAGCCCACCCAGGTCCCACCCCCTGCCATGGGCAGGGACACCTTCCATAGCCCAGGTTGCTCCAAGCCTCATCCAGCCTGGCCTTGGACACTCCCAGGGATGGGGCATCCACAGCTTCTCTGGGAACCTGTCCCAGTGCTCCCCACCCTCTGCGGGAAGAATTCCTTCCTGACATCTAATTAAATCTATCTGCTTTCAATTTAAAGGCATTTAAAGCAAAATTAAACTTTCATAGCCAGCCGAAGAAAAATACTTGAGTGCATAGACCTAAACCTTGGGACAGGGGCTCCCATTTTGGTCATGGAAACATCTAACTTCGAGATGAATTCGGCAAGTACCTCTAACGTTATTGTGAGTTTCCTTGACAGTTGTTTCTGTCAGCATAAAAGCTAAGGCTGGCTGATTTTTTTTAATGTGAAAAAAGTCATTCTTTTGTATAAAGTATGGAAGGAGCTGGAGGTTATTGCCAACTGGATGGGAAACACAAGGAGATTGTATTTTCATCAACTCGCTGAAACTTGGAGCTGTCACCATCTGTAAAATGTCAGAAGTGACCAGAAATGTGTAATTTTACTCCAGTTCCTGCGGTTTGGTATCACCCTGCATCTGCAGCGCGCTGGCGGGGACACGGGCTGCGAGCGTCGGCTTCGC